TCCAGGCCCCGGGGCGGGGAAATGGGATCCTAGCCCTGCCTCCAGTGGGGGCCGTCCGGAGGTTCTAGGCAGAAACCCGCGGGGTGCCTGGAGTGCCCGGCGGTTTTCGGAGTCTCCACCCAGGGTGAGGGAGAAGGGACTTCCTGGGGTGTCATCCTGGCACAGGCCTTATAGGGGAAGTTTTTATATTTTCAAAACTTCAGAGTGTCGTGAAGTAGTTGAAAAACTTCTGTGGACTCTAATTCCAGAGAAGACGGGGGGGGGGGTCTTTGGTATGATTAGCTTCCTGCAGCCCGCGTTGCCCTGGTCTTATGGGGGTGCCACGGACGGGCCCCACTCTGTTCACATTCTCTTTAGACAATGGAAACGAGATGCTGAGTGCTTGAAGGATTTATATTTGTGATTCCTATTGTTTGCTCAAAATCACCCCAACCCTGTAGGTAATGGTACTGGCTCTCAGATTTGGTGTCTCTCCAGGTGAGATCTTTGCCAACCGTGGAGTCCTTTAGCTCTCCAGTTAGCACATTTTTTAGAGATGAAAAGGAACTAACTATAAGCATCATTGCCCGTGAGGTGGTGGTGTATCTCAAGAGCTCTCTCTGCCTGTGCAGAGGTTTGCTGTATGCTATAGATCCTCAGTATGAATGATACTAGGTCACCAAAGTCAGCATTTTTAATCCAGGTTGGGGGAAATTGAGAATATTTGAATTGATTTAAACTTTTCAACGCAGGTGATTAGCATGCAGATCCTAATACTCTGACCTGCCACCCCTCCACTGACATGGCCCACCGGGGTGGGGAAAGGGACTTCCAGACTTCAGCTCGGCGCATGGGCACCTCCCTGCTCTTCCAGCTGTCAGTGCATGAACGGGAGCTGGACCTGGTTTTTCTGGATCATAGCTATGCCAAGCCATGGAGTGCTCACCCAGATGCCAGTAGCGCCCGCCCCACCCGCATGCTCTTTGTTACTCCCCGGCGGCAGCAGGAGAATACCATGTGAGTTTGGGCTTCTTTCATAAGGTGACCACCACCCACGTGGGTGGTGATGAGATGATGGGATTGGGGAAGGCTTTCATGGGACATTGGTCAGGGAGCTTGGCTGTTTAATTCAGTAATCTCTGTGAAGCAACATAAGAATATCAGCCTGAGTGTGGACATCTGCCCATGGGACATCTAACAACAGTTAGAGAAGCAAGATGCACAAAGGAAAGCAGACAAACTCTTCCACTTAGGTAACAGGATATTGAAGAGGATTAAATTTATGAAGAGAAAGACTAAAAAGTTGATTTTAAAGGACCATTGCACAGAATTAGACTCTTTGACACTTCAATGTAATGTTCTGCTTTGTGTGACAGTGGCACCCAGAGCCCTTTTTTAAAGTGCATTTTTGCTTTTCTTGGCTTCAGACGCAAAGGCTAGGAGGAAATACCCAAGACAAGGGTTTGTCTGAACCTTTCCTAGGTCTAATTATATTTTCTGCAGACCTGCATTATAGAGAAAGGAAGTTTCATAAATTTACTACCTGATAATGTGATACAGTTATACTTGCCCTACAGTTATACCTGCCTAGCAATTCTTTTGGCTTTCAAGGAATCCTAATTTCTTGTATTTCAGAATTTGTTGCTGTGTTCTATTCTGATAATCACGCTTCATCTCAGCCAAAAGGCCAAGAAGTGATAATTCTGGTAATCAAACCATGTCGTTTGTTTTTTGAGGCAAGGACTCCCTCTATAGTCTAAGCTGGTCTCAAATTCATGATTCTCTTGCCTCAACCTCCCAAGTGCTCAGATCACAGGCATCTAACACCACACCTAGCTAAAATCATGCCCTTAATTATAAGCTGTGGGAGGGCCAGGTTCTGCCATCTGCCTTGCAAGTGCAAGGACCCGAGCTCGATCCCCGCCCCCCCCCAAATTATAAACTGTGGGTGAAGAGGTTTTTTGTATGTTTGTTTGTTTGCTGTTAATCTGACCTAATGTTTTATCTTTCCTCAAGTACAGGTTTTAGATTTGTTGGGGATAGTTTAATTTGTATTTTGCTTCAAATCCCCCTATTGAGTTTTAGTGAGTTAGAGGAACCATGATATGTTTTAAACACATGTAGAATAGTAGTTGATATTTCATTTCTCAATGATGGTATTTTGCTGGCTTTATTGCTTGTATAAGGCACAGGATCTGTGACTTTAGGGAATAATCTAGAATCTTCTTGATTCCTTCAGCCCAAGGTATAACTAAAAACCCCTTTAAATAGAATATGAACTCTTTTCCTCTCTGCTATGTGAAGATTCTTGCTCACGTTGAAGCACCTGTGTCCATATCTCCTAATGTTTCCTTAAATTGAGGTTCTTTTAGTTGGTTGTTTTGATGCTTAGAAAATTATTTTCTTACATAAGCCTTGTCTTCATATATAGGCCCCGAGCAGGGAATTTGACATATCAGAGGACCTCTTTTGGCACTGTAGCTAGACTGTGGGGGCAATTAGGGTTATGGGTGGAAGGAAGGGAGAAATTTATCAAGGCTACCTCTCCTAGGAATTTGATTCCAAGAGTGGCTAGGCATCATTGAAGGATTTTAAGGTTGAGATCCAATTTATATATTCAAAAAGTTCACTTTTTATTTTATAAAACAGGCTACAGTACAGGAGTGGAATTTAGAAAGCCATTTAGGCTATTGCAGTAGCCTGTGATGATCCAGAAATCATGGTGGCCTGGATAGGGGAGGGAATAGCACAGAGAAAAGGGCCTCGAACTGTTTTGTAGGTCCAGCCAACAGGACCTGCTGTGAGGAGCCAGGAGGATGGGCCAGAGTTAAAGGAAAGGTAAAATTAGGATGACTCTTGTAGTTTTGGCTTGAGCAGCTGGGTGGAACCATGAGTTGGGAAAGACTGGGGAGGATAGTTTGTGTTGGTGAAACCAAGACTAGTATTATAGCTGTTTGAGTCCAAGTGCTAGCCCAGTGTTTGAATCAGAAGATAATCAGCTTGTTAACCACCACCAAATCTAGCTGCACATTTATTTCACTTTACTTCGTAATGATGTAATTCTTCCAGTCATTGAGAATGGATGTAATAAGATTATCGATGTAAAAAATTAACATGATATTCCAGTAGTGGTGGCACTTCCTGTAATCCCAGCACTTGGAAGGCTGAGGCAGGAGATCGCTTTGAGTTCAAGGCCAGACCCTGTCTCAAGAAAACAACAGCAGCAACAGATGAACATGATGTTTAGTAAATGGCCAGTAGGCCAATTTGTTTGGCATCGTACTTGGCAGCCAGCTTGGTTCGATATACTGTACCATGACATGGAGGAAGAACTCTTAGGCTCTAGATTTCACTAATATCATTTTAAAATGTGAAAGATCCTTTAGAAACCCACTTGTGTTTGTTTTTGTTTTAGGCTCCGTACAAAGTGAGTTAAATATCTCAGGTGTTTACATTCTTGGTGGCATGTCTCAGGCAGTCACAGGCTTTTACAAGCATAGCATTAACTATCATTTGACTTCTTTTGAAAGGGAAAGTTTATATGAATAATCTAAAACTAGACCAGTACTGTCCAGCAGAATCCTCTGCAATAATAGAAGTATTCTAATCCTATGACATCCAGTCTGGTAGCCCAGGGCTGTATATGTCTGTTGAGCACTTGAAGTGTGGCTAGTATAATTGAGGAACTGAATCTTAAGTTCTGTTGGATTTTACTCATATTTATGTCACATATGGCATTTAACTTCTATATGTGGACAGTGTGTTTTAGCAATCAATTATGTGCTTTTTTTGTTTTAAGTAGATGTGTATAGTTTTTTATATAGACTCATTTTAAAATGTCTTTGTGTTCTTTTACCACATGTCACCGAGAAGGTAGAGGTCTAGACAGAGGCAAGAAAAATTACTCAGGACTAAAATTTTCTTGTGGATGCAATGTGCTTCTGTGTTATTTAAAGCTGACTGTAAAAAGAGGCATTTTTTTGGCAGCCAGGTGATCATTAAACACCTGTTATGAGTGATGTGTGTATGGCCTTCCTTACCTGTTTTTTCCAGTGAATCAGATGTCCCAATAGACGTGGAGACCGTCACATCAACTCCTGTGCCACTCTATGACAATCAGAAGGCACGCAGTGTGATGAACGAGTGTGAACGGCATGTCATCTTTGCCAGAACTGATGCGGATGCCCCACCCCCACCAGAGGACTGGGAAGAGCATGTCAACAGGTAGGCCACACCATAGAAGTACAGGTCACTGTAGGAATGATAGTCATCACTCTTAATTACCTTGTGTTATCATCTTCATTGGAGCACATTTATCAGTTTATTTCACTGGTAGCCATATAAGTTGGAGTGTCCTCTCAGCTCACTCTGCTGTGGGCTCCTTGAGAATGGGCCTGGTGTGTCAGCCATCTCGGCACCAACACTAGGACATACCACACTGGGCGTAAAAGAAATGAGGAAACCAGGTGTGGCGGTGGGTGCCTACAGTCCCACCCACTTGGGAAAGAGGTAACAGGAGGACTGCTTGAGCCCAGTAGTTCAAGGCCAGTCTGGGCAATGTGGAGGCCTCATGTCTTTTTTAAAAAAAGAAAGTTTGTGGAATAAATAAATAACTTCAGTTCGATAGTTATGATTAGCACTGTAGCTTATGATACAATATAAGGACTGCCCAGACTACAGAAAACATTGAATGTGCATCTGTAAGAGACTGCATTTTTATGGCTTATGACTAAAAAAATCAAAATGTCTTGGAGTCACATGAAAAGCTAACAGATACTTGTCTGGCTTTAACAAATAGATTTGCAGTGTTTTGTTTTGAGGGTACCTTTAACTGATTTTCATAAGATTGCTGGCTAGCTTTGTTCCCATGCCTCCTACTCCCAAGGGACCCAGCGCTCCTTTTCTCTCTCTCTCTCTCTCTCTCTCTCTCTCTCTGTCTCTCTCTCTCTCATATTCTGTGTTCATTTAGCGAACATTGGTTGGTCTTACTACATAACACCCTGGTGAAAGCAGTTGCAGACCATGTGACTACTTCTTTGGCAAGTATAGCTTGTACTTTTGGTATATACTCAGTTGTACACCCATCCCCATAACCAATTTGATGAACATTTCATCACCCCACAGAGAAACTCTCTGCCCATTAGCAGCCACCCTCATTCCCTCCTAACCCTCCAGTCTCAGGGAACCACCAGTCTGCTTTCTACCTCCTCAGATTTGCCTGTTTTGGACATACTGTATAGAATCGTGCAGTGTGGCCCTTGTGTATGATTTCTGTTACATAGCAGTATGTTTTTGAGGTTTGTGGGTGCTGTAACATTTCCATTATTTTATCCCCTTTTTTTGGTACTGGGAATCAAACTCGGCCTTGTGTTTGCCATGCAGGTACTGCATCTCTGAGCTACATCCTTGACCCCCTTCATTCCTTTTTATTGTCGGATGGTATTTCATTTTGTAGATATCCCATATTTTCTTTGTCCACTGATTATTGGTGGCATTTAGGTTGTTTCCAATTCAGCTGTTGTGAATAACGCTACTAGGAGCATTTGTTTACAAGTTGGGTTCTTTGTTTTGTTTTTTGTGGTGCTAGCGATTGAACGCAGGGCACTTTGAGCATGCTTAGGCAAGCATTCTATCCCTGAACTACATTGCCAGCCCCTCATATAGAAGTTTTATGTGTGAATCTGTGTTTTCAGTTTTCTTGGGCATGGTCCTAGGAGTGGAATTGCTGGATCATGTGGTTTAATTAATTTAACTAATTTATTTATTTATTTGTTTGTTTATTTATTTATTTTTATGACAGGGTCTCATTCTGTAATTCAGGCTGGCCTTGAACCCCTGGCAATGCTCCTGCCTCATCCTCTCTAGCTAGTGCATTACAAGCATAGGCCACCATATCTGGCTCTCTGTTTAACTTTTGAGGAACTACCAGACTGCTTTCAAAGTGGCCGCACCATGAAACATTCCTACTAGTGGTATATGAGAATTATAATTTTCCTATATCCTTGCCAACACTTGTCTTATTGTTATTATCGTCATCACCATTGGATTGGTATAAAGTAGCATCTCATTGTGGGTTTTAATTTGCATTTTTCCAACTTGCATGTGCTGTTTAAGGTAATGTTACCCCTTACATCAGGAACTAGTAGTAGGTGGCAAACTTACCATACTGTTGGAGAACTCTTTACAATAATGGAGAGCCAGACATGGTGGTGCACACCTGTAATCCCAGCATTTGGGAGGCTGAGGCTGGATTACTGTAAATTCCAATGTCAGCCTAGGCTACATAGTGAGTTGAAGGCCAGTCTGAACTACATAGTAAGACCCTGTCTCAAAACCAGAAAGAGAGAGAGATAGCAAGAGGGGGTAGGGAATTTCAAGGCAGTGCACATGGCTTGTGAGGCCGCTTGGAAGTTGGGATAAGAACAAGCCAATGTGCTTGTGTGGACAGAAGCACAGTTGAGGAAGGAAGAGCAATCGCACCTTGGTTGAAGAGCTTGTGCAGTTGGTTGGGGCCTTCAATTGGAATTAGCGTAGTGCCCTAAGAAGAGAAAGTGCTCTTCAAAGCCTTGGAGGAGGAGGAAGTGGCTGTGAGTAGAGGTCAGCTTCTAGAATGTTGCCATTTGGCCAGTTTAGCAAAAGGGTTTCCCATTGTTATAGTCAGTAATAATATAGAATACAACAGTGGCAGTAACAAGAAGGAGCTTTTTGTTTCTTGGGGGCCAGGTGTCGAGTCTACTGCTTCATATGCATTCCTTTGTCTAATCCTTCAGTGATTCTTAGAGATGTAGCCCTCTTCCATCTCTGCTTTACAAGCTGAAGAAATAAGTCTAGGAGCCAAAGAAACCTTCCCTAGGAGGCCATAGAGGAGGGATTTATTCAAACTGAGCAGTCTGACCCCAGGCCCTAGAGTTCTGAGTGCTGTGCCCTCTGCTGTGAAGACAGGGATGGTGAGGAAGGCCACTTTGAGTGGTGGTTGAACAAAAGCACTTCAGTGGTTATGCATCCCACTGTGGTGTTGCCCACTGCCTTGTCCTGTTGCAGTTACCAAGTGGGTGGGAGAAAAACTACAGCACATTTTTTATCAGTTTACCCATTGCTATACTTAGAGGTCCTAAGTCACAAGAGAGCTAATACATAGGAACAGCACTTTCTTAATTCCCAAGGAGAAACCCAGCTGCAGACCACGATATAGCATGGAAACCTGTCCAGGCTTGTCTGTTCCCAGTAGAGGTGGGAGACTATTCTACTCCAGAAGAGGCTGGAGAGCAGGGAAACGCGGAAAGGGTCTTAGTTTCAGTCTGCGCGACCTCTGTCCTTCTGTTTGGGTGCTGCCACAGGTTGCTAGGATTCAGTTATTCTGCAGCAGTCTGTTATCTCAGATGATTGTTTTTAATGTCTAATGAGCTTTTGGAGGTGCCCATCTCTCAGTAGCAGCAGGTTGAGAAACCGTCTCCTCAGGCAGCTCACTTTTGCACATGTCTGGTTTCATTACTTAGTGATCCTATTAGCTGCAGCCTCCGAGGTCAGCATTTTATGACCCTGTCCCTGAATCTGTGGCCTGTGGAATGTGCAGTTCCCTCCTTTCTGATTATAATCATCTGGTTGCTGTTTTCTGCCTTGACTTGATTGTGAAATTGCTGCTTCCTTTCTTCCTGTATAAAGTCATGTAAAATTACAGTTTCCCACATTGAGAACTCCAAGGACTATAGGATAGTGTACTGGAACTCTAGATTTTTTTTTTTTATTATTTAATTGGATACCGGGCATCAAACTCTGGTCCTTGTGCTTGGAAGGCAGGCAGTGGTACCACTGAGCTAAATCCCTGGCTCTGGAACTCTAGATTTTTGTTCCCAGAGTGTAGTGATTGCATTTTTTGGTTTTTTTGGTTTTTTTAATCTATGCAGTCAGAAACTTAATTTCTTTGTACGGGCTCTTTCACCCTCTTGAATTTTTTGTGGAAACTGTCTTCAGGTAATTGTGTGTACTATGTAGAGAATGACAGGCACATTCCCCCATTCTGACTCTGACTTTCTCTTGTAATGGCTCCAGTTTTGTGAAATGGTTTAAATCTTTCTCTGCTTGATTTATTTTGAGACACAGGGTCTCTTTATATAGCGTAGGCTGACCGGAATTCCAAGTCCTCCTGCCTCAGCCACCTGAGTGCTGGAATTACAAGCATAGGCCACTATCCCCAGACAAATTAAAACTTCAGAGTCGATAAATAAAATTTATTAGAATACAGCCCTGCCTACTTCTTAGGTACTGTCCTTGGCTTCTTTTGCACTACAACCACAGAGTTAGGTAGTTTAGCAGAGACTCCGTGGCCCACAAGCCCTAATGTACTTCCTTTCTGGCCTCTTACAGAAGCTAGCAGACTGGAGTTGGGTATAGTGGCACATGCCTTTGGTTCTAGTTGTTGGGTGTGTTGTGATGGGAGGATTTCTGGAGCCTAGGAGTTTGAGAACAGCCTGGGCAACATAGCAAGACTCCCGTCTCAAAAAAGAAAATTGTTCTAGCTGAGTGGGTCTGGGTCATATACTTGTGTCTGTGTGCCAGTCTGTGACTTGGAGGACCTTTGAAAATGATTCCCATTTGCTGCCATTGTGATGTGGTCCTAAGATGCTGAGCCCGCTTTTTTCCCCCTTCTTTTTCTACAGTTATTTGTCCAATGGCAGATTTCATTAAATGCACAGTGAAAGATGCCCATCAAAATACTCCTTATACATGATACCTCTCAGCATTTGCTCACATGAATTTTGAAGCATTTCCAGCATTTCAGTGAAAGAATCTAGTGTTGGAAAGCAAGCTGTCATATCTTAGTAATCAGAACTTCTGAATTCCAGCCAAGAAAAACCCATTCTCCTTTTCTGAACTTTCTCTGATTATACATCTCAATATTATGGGTATCTGTGTAGAAATCTTAGGTTGGGTATTTATAATTCTGTGCTCAAAATCTTTGGAGTTATTTTCTCTCCCCTTCTGGCCCCTTTATTTTTTCCTCCTTTCTTAGTATTTTGACAATCTATTGAATTTCTCTGATGTTCTTTGTTTCTTCCTATTGGGCTTTCAGTTAGAAAAAAAAGTCTTTTAGACATTTTAATGTTGAAGTACTCTGCTCTGAAACAGTATCAGGAAAATACTGATAACCAGATTTTTCTAGGAACAGTGTGCTTTTTTGGCTGCTTTGAACAGGATGAGTCAGAGGTCAGCATATCATTCAGGTT